AGCCAAATAATTTCATTAAGCCGAAAAAACTTCCGAACATACACTTCGAAGTGTCCTCTACAAATCGGGAAGGCTTGAAGAAAAACTTCAAAACTTGAAAATATCGCTGGTTTTTGGCTCACCGAAGATTTTTTTTACCTAACCTTACGGCTAGTTTCGCCCGAACCAAGCATTTTGGAGCAAAACTCTGTGTGCAAAAGTTGTTCAGAATCGAATTTTGGAGTCCCTGACGAGAGCGTTTTGTAATATTTTCTGTTACTGACTTTTAAATTAAAGTTTAGGGTTTTTAAAATTTTAAAAAAAGCTCTCGTCAGGGACTGCAAAATCCGATTCTGAACAACTTTTACACTCAGAATTTTGCTTCGAGCGAAACTAGCCGTAAAGCGTGGTGAAAAATACTTTTAGCTCTGAAGTTTCCTCGGGAAAGCAAACGTTAAATTTTTGCGGCAAACTTCATTCGGGAACGATGAAAAGAGTTTCTCTGTATAAAAAATTAATGTTCTCCATCGAACTACGCTAGAATCAATTCTTCATATCAAAAAATGAAGTTTTTAGTGAAGTTTTAAAAATAGGGCAAAAAACCCGAAGACAAATTAAAAATTTTTTTATCAAAAACTATAAATTCGGGAACCGAAAGCTTTGTTGAGACATATACTCCAAAGTGTCCTCCACAAACTGCTGGAAAAAATTTCAAAGTGAAAGAAAAACTGCTTCAAAATAAAGTCAAGTGCATTGGAGCAATAATTCGATCATTTATTCGTTATGAACATTAGGTTATTGAAATTGATTTGGTGACTGACTTGACTGATGACCTTGCTAGTGCCATTGTCCTTTATATGATCAGTATATGAATTGTTTTCCAATTGTAATGCTGATGGAAAAACATAAAAAGCTATCCGGACATTTATAGCAGAGATTCGTTTGAAACCACGTCATCAGCATTCCCCTAAAGTCAACGATTTCGTTCAAAGTTAGCTGGATTCCTGTCCAAGAGTCTTTCAGCTGGTTTCGTACGAAAATTGAAGGAGATAGATTTGACTTAAAGAGCATTTGGAGGGAAACGATGAATCGCAAGTGAGAGCTTCGTACAAACCATTCACAACGAAAACAGGGGATAATAAATTGAGCAGCGTACAATAGACAGATTCTTGATCTTTGATTTATGAATATTGCAGTCAGTCCGACCAAAGCTTTGATATATTAGAAAACATGAAGTAAAATACTTCATTCAAATCAACCATCTAACTCATCACATTTATCGTAGACAGTACCCGATAAAGAAAAATATAATGGTTGTATGAAAAACTACAATCTACTGGATCTACTTTGAAGCTGTAAATATAATTAGTTATTTAACAAATCAGTTACTTTAATTGATGTCAACACCTCGTCTCTTGTAAGATATGCACGTAAATGTGCTTTTATAACATATTTACACAATCATGTTTGTGTATAGTCCCGTATTAGTTAACAAAAGACTTTACGCATATAAATAAAAGAAACGAACAACAACATGAGTTATGTTAATAACGTTTAGTAAGCAACGCAAAAGGTTAATAAAAGAAGAACTAAAGAAGCCTTTCGCTGTTGGGTTTTGATGGTTCGAGGGAAAATATTCGCACTTATACGTACACAACAGTGTAAAACAAAAGAATGATTTACGAATTTCCAAGATCTTGGGCACAAAATTTAACTACCCAAGCTCTTATTAAGAACTTGGTACAAGAACTGTCGAAGTTCAAGATGTTCTTTGCTACGAAACAATGAAAAATTTATACTAGTAGATCGATGAAACGAATAATGACAATTATGTAAATTAGAGTAATATTTAATATTATGTCATTCCTACTCTTCCACTCGGAGCGTCTTCATCTCTTATCCTATGTCAACCGAAAGCAAGATTACATTCGTCAAAAGGGTGAAATTCAATAGTCCGACTCAATATAAGAAATTAAGTATATTAACATCAAAAAGTAATTAATAATTATACACTTAATTTTTTATGTTGAGTCGGACTATTGAATTTCACCCTTTTGACGAATGTAATCTTGCTTTCGGTTGACATAGGATAAGAGATGAAGACCCCCCGAGTGGAAGAGTAGGAATGACATAATATTAAATATTACTCTACTTTATATTATTATTCTTATCTGCTACATTGATCTGCTGTTATACATTTTTCATTGGTTTGTAGCAAAGAACAATAAAAATGTCGTCGATTTCCACAACAGTTACTTTAGCATCATTGACCATTATCCAGCAACAGATGACACGTGTAATGATTGCTCAATTAATTCTTGGTGTAGTTGGCAATTTATTTAATATTTCTATTTTTTTACAAAAATCTTTACGATCAAATTCATGCTCAATGTATTTAATCACATCCTCAATCACGAATGTATTTGTCTTAAATTTTGGAATTATTCCAAGCTTGTATACGTTGGACCATGTAAATCCATCTAACTATTCACTGGTCTATTGTAAGTTAAGATTATATTTAATTCACGGTCCATTAATGATATCAAGATGGTGCATCGTTCTTGCGTGCATCGATCGGTGGGCCTTGTGTTCATCACATACCAAAGTACGCGAATTTTCTCGCTCAGTTGTCGCCGGTCGTTTAATACCGATAATCGTATCGCTATGGTTAATTATTCCACTACACATTCCAATATTTAACACAATCGATTCTAAACAACGATGTATTATGCCAGGTGTATATTCTTTAATCTATAGTTTGTATGCCCTGATTGTTTCTGGTACTATTCCACCAATATTAATGGTACTCTTTTCCATTTTAACCTTCAATAATTTAAGAGAAATTCGTAAACGTGTTCAACCAGTCGGTGGTGGTACACAAATAAAAATAAAGCAACGTGATATTCAACTAATGGTAATGTTGTCGGCCGAGGTATTTGTTTACATTTTCTCAACAGTATTATATCCGATAAATGTTTTTTATACTGCACTTACAGTGAATGACTCTAAAACACCACTTAGAACAACAATCGAATCCTTTATTACCTTTTTAGCTGGCTCATTTCTTATTTACATAAACAGTGCAGCAGCATTTTACGTTTATCTATTAACATCGAAGCAATTTCGGCAAGAATTAAAAAACATACTGGTGATTTATTGTCTAAAATATTTGTTTAAAAATAAATTCCGAAATTATCGACAAAACCAACGTACAACGGGAGGCGGTTCCCTTAAAACAACATATCACGAGCAGTCGCTGTCGATGTCTCAACGATATATTTAATTCTCAGATGTTATTAACGGATATACGTTTTAAACCTTTTCCTTTGATGTTGTAATCCAAAGCAGCGAGAAGCTACGTGGCCACATTCATCATCAAGAGTCCCTTCTTAGTTGTTTTTAGTTTTTTTTTCCCTTCTTAGTTGTTTTTTAGTAAATTTTTTAGGTTGTAAGAAATGTAAAATAAACGACAATTTATTCATTTTGTCCGGTCAACCTTTCTGTCTTTTTTCTTGTAGTCAATATTCGTCAATATTTTAACCGAGAGCGTTTGTTTTCTGGTGGATACTCTTTCCTTCTTTTCACGCCCAGACCGATTCGTCGTTTGAACTTTGTCTTTTCCACGAACTAAATGTATTGATATATGATGAAATAAAAATGAAGAATTTCCCCTAGTATTCTTGAGGACTGCAGATTCATTAAGTCCCAGTTTGTAATAATTATTGTCACGCGTCAGTGTTTCTTCAGTACGTGTTGCTTCTATTAATCCAAGAAAGTCATGTATTAGGATTATTGTGGATGATGTTGCTTATTGCAGATACGCAATGTAACAACTACCGACCATTGAACACATGACAGCCTTTTTCGATTAATAAAAGAAACAAGACAATTTGTATTGTTAATTTTATTTTTTACAAACCGTTTACAACTTATTAGGTCAATATAATTTAATTAAAAATTGTTTAGAGTAAACTGGGGCAATTGGAAACGATTTTTGGCTCTTTGGACTTCTAATAATTTGTTAATTTTAATTATCTTTTTGCGCCCCTTTTACGGATATGTAGAGGAGGAAGTTCTCTTTAAGCCTATCTAAAAATTGTCAAAAGCTCCGTGTGTCCGGCGAACTTCCGGTGTTCCACTGAAAGCTCTGACGAACATTTCCAATTACCCTACTTGGGGCAATTGGAAACAACAATAGAAATTGATGGGGTAACTAGATACGCCACGTATTTTACACGGGAAATAATTCATTAGTAAAAAACAGTTTTCTCGTTAAGCCAATGATAGTAATTCATAATTTGTGCACAGGTAAATAGATCAACTGTTGCTCTACAAATGGTGAGAATCTCCAAGATTTACTCATTAATTAGCCTGAGCTCTAATTAAAAAGGTAAACGCTAAGAAATTTGCAAATGTTTCCAATTATCCCATTTGGGGCAATTGGAAACGTACGTGAAACTTAGTGGAGTAAATGGAAACGACCATGTAAAATAACTAGAAGGCTAGGAGTTTCTTAGAAATCAGTTTCTACTCGAAGAATATCTCTCACAAAAAAGTTTGCGCTTATAAAAGGATGCAAAATATTCTTTTCTGCAATCGTAAAGAAACTCTCACTCATTTTCATTCAGAAATAACGAAATAAGTGTGTTACACAAGAAGGTGGGCTAGGCTATCTCGATAATCACTGAACCAAATTTTATGAAACTCGGCGCTTAAGGGTTTATCAACGTCCTCTTTCTTTTCTACTCTAGAAAGTTTTCTTTAAAACTCTCGAAAGTAAAGTTTTCTAGAAAACCGTGGCTTTTGGGCTACTTCTTAAAACGATTTTTAAAATCACTCTTAAGACATGAAACATTTTTAATGGTATATATGAATGCAGCGTCGAAAGGCGAACATTTTGAGAAACAAAATCAAGTCTTCAACTCAAAAGTTCAGTTTAAACCCCCCCCAAAATAGACGGTCACCCTATATTAGAAGGCCACCCCCTGTATAAGGCCATGTTCGGACAATCTTGGAGATTCTCACCATTTGTAGAGCAACAGTTGATCTATTTATCTGTGCAAAAATTATGAATTACTATCATTGGCTTAACGAGAAAACTGTTTTTTACTAATGAATTATTTCCCGTGTAAAATACGTGGCGTATCTAGTTACCCCATCAATTTCTATTGTTGTTTCCAATTGCCCCAAGTAGGGTAATTGGAAATGTTCGTCAGAGCTTTCAGTGGAACACCGGAAGTTCGCCGGACACACGGAGCTTTTGACAATTTTTAGATAGGCTTAAAGAGAACTTCCTCCTCTACATATCCGTAAAAGGGGCGCAAAAAGATAATTAAAATTAACAAATTATTAGAAGTCCAAAGAGCCAAAAATCGTTTCCAATTGCCCCAGTTTACTCTAAAAGCATGGCAAAGGAGTTTTTTTGATTCGGTATGTAAAACTAATAAAAAATAATTTGATTTCTAGAACGGTTTCCCAGAAACCTTCGGAATTAAGCGAATTTTTTTTTATCTTACATACAGAATTAGAATGAGCGAATAAAGTAGACTATTTCCTGACATTCTGAAGTAGGTTGGATGGATTTTGACTGAGTTATGAATTATTTAACTTTTGATTAATTTCATTAAAAGCGAGTTATTTCACCTAGTATAGGTTTTCACTTGGTTGCTGCATTTTGTTTTGTAAACAAACATTGCCACGAGATTCGGCATAGTCGATAACATATGTTTTCATTCTTTTCTGACAGTCCCAAACCCAACGGCAGAGGTGTGCTAAGGCTTGAAGAAAACGTCCATAGCTCCCAAATGATGGATTTCTAAGATGTCACTTAGATCCAGTTTTATGTATCATACAGCCAGTTATAATCTGGATTATGCAGCCACTAGACAAGTGGCTTCGGACATAAAAATTTAATTTTTGAAATGCTCCATTTTCACTTTCTTCGAAGTTTAAGACGGCCTGCACCCCTAGTGAACTATCTTTTTCAGATCAAAGCTATAAATTTGAGTAGAGCAAGCTGTTCTGTGAAGTGAAACTCCAAATACTTTAACTTTTCATAGAAGAATTTAGCCAAAAAGTACGATTGTTATTAATGTTTTGCAGGTACGATTTTGTACATGTGCGAAAGTCGTATCCACATTTATTTTCGGGTAGAGGTAGTATTTGACATATACTACTTATGCAGCAAGTACGAGCTCTAGCTCTACTACGCTGACCGGAATACAATGGCTGTAAAATGTAGTTCTCTACAAATCCTCTTTTTAGCGGTTTTTAGGACTTTTACGAAAAGTGCGATAAGTCCTAAAGGAAGCATTATCCTGTCAAACGATTTTGGGAATCTTTCTAAATGTGTCGTCTTTACCTACTGTGAAAGTTTGTTTGCGAAAACTGAACATCAATTGAGCAGCTAGATCGTGCCTACCGTGCAACGGGGCTCTTACGGCTATAGTCAGATTGCTTTATGATACAAGATATGCTCTAACAAGCACTTAAACATATTTTACACTCTAGTTGTATTTGAAGTATTTTTTTCAAAACACACTTGACTATTTCTCACATCAGGACATTTGGTTAAATTAAGTACAAAGGGATTTAAGTATTTTTCGTAAGTTAACTTAGTTTTCTTTTAAAGGTCTTTAAAGGTATTTCGTAATAAGAAGACTTGAATACATTTCAACAGGTATGTCGCGCCAAAATGCTTTCAGATGTATTTCAACAAAATGCATTTAATTAGATTTATTTTAAAATTTATTTAAATATATTTCTCAAAAATTCCTTTAAATGCTTTTCATATTCCAAATATTCATAAATATGATAGAAACAGAAGAATGTACATTTCTTGGGGTACAAAAGTATCATTCAGTCATCATTTATAGATTTTATACATAGGGCTGAAAAACGCCTCTTTCCACTTTTCTATAAAAAATTATTCAAATAATTTTTGATTACCTTTAATTTCGAACACTATAGTAGAACTGCTTCCTTTGCACTTCAAATATAGGGAAAAACGTACTCATAATCGCGCGCCTAAATATGCATTGATAAAAAACAGAAGAATATGGCAATAGCCACAGAGGCACACGGTGTTAACCACGTCTAGAGAGCACATTTCAATGGGAAAAAGTATGTCGAAAAGTTGTCCCTGCAATACTCTCAACTAGAGTTGATTGGCTGCTGGTTTATAAGATCAAAATCTGACCTAGATTATTGCTTCAAAAAATTGTCAATGCCCTACATTTACTTAGAGGATTGAATCATGTTTGCAGAGTGTGATGATATATTTGAGGATGGGTTCGGATGGGATTCTTCTACCATATCTCTTAAATATACTGCTACTTCCCTTTGGTCGATTTGAACTAGAGCGCGAAACAGTTCACGACAATACGGTTTATCTCCTTGCTTTTGATGCCAACACATCAGAACTTCTCTCATCGTTAACTGATGCTTTGTATATGGACTAATAGATTGTGCATGACATTTGATGGCATTTATATTAATTTTACTTAATTTTAAGTATTTTGCCAATTCATAGGGTTTATCACCAGTACAATCTAACTTTACACAAATCTGATTCAATGCATCTTCTGTTAATAGTTGAGTAGAGGCTAAAGTAGAAGATACTTGTTTTCTTGTATTAACAAAATACAATAGTTAGTACTACGAAGCCGCATCGATGGTGATACTTACATGGTTCTACTTCAGCAGTTGGTTCTTCTCGTGTTATGGTCTTCCCATCGGTATAAATAGTTGAGCAGCCATTTGCCAATAGATGCAAAGCAAGACTGCCAATATTTCCAGCTAAAATATGAACGTTCAGCTTATCAAAAGTCGACGGTAAGGTTGAGAAGTCTATGTTATTTACTATCAGAGGAGATAGTACCCTGAATCTAGGAAATTGAAAACCACATTTAGGACACAAACAGATGGTACAGTTGACAAAAGACTCTTCCTTCCAAAAGAAAGGACACGGGGTGGATAACTAGTGATTGTATTGATTTGATAAACATTCATCTGTTGTCATACTTACGTGATAACAAAATATTGGATGATGATGGTGAGACTGTAATGTTGCCATTTGGAAGATCTACTGCGGTAGTGACGGCAGGAATAAGTGTATATGCTGATTAAAAAAAAACGGTTGTTTACTAGTGCAATTCAAGAGATTGAACCATAGGCACCTAAGGTGTTCACTTCTTTTTAATGGAATTTAGTTTTTCATAGGTAAGTGGCAATGTTGATTGAGAACTTGACATCCGCCAGAAGAAGAATACTCCGTCTTGCGACCACCATTACTAGTGTGGGATGCTGACAAATGTCAGTTTCATTAGCCCGCTATTTTTTACACAGTTTGAAAGCTTACGATAGGATCACCCATACCGTTACTAATCATAAACTGCAGCCCTGCCTAGAGGGTTAACCTGACGAAGTTCCCTTACTCAGTTGCTATAGGTTCCCATACATACTCACCAGCCACATAGGAGCTCGTTTCGAAAAGTCCTGAAGACTAACTAGAGGAACTGTACTGAGCGTCATAACGTAGTAAGTATGCTATCGGACAAGTGATCTGAAGTATGTAAACATAAGTAACTTGCCCAAAGTTATTACATAGTTCTTTACATAGTATTCATAGTTTTTCAAGCATTAGCGGCTAGTGCAAAAATATAAAACTTATGGTGTATTTCTATATCTCTCACCGGGTACAGCGTTTGAAACTTCCAATGGTTGAGTTGTATCGTCATTCGATAATTGTATTGGTGCCGACTGAAGCGTCTTCTGAGTGGTTAAATTATGATTCATATGTTCGTGAGATGTAATCGAATGCTGGCTACCAGTGGATGTCGGTACTGGTAAAGAAAAATGGAACAAACTAATACTCACACTGATAGTATTATACCCAAAATGACAGTGTACTATATGTCTACGTAGCGTTAGACGATGCTTTTTTTTTCATACTCTGAGGCTCGCTCAGAATAATAAATCAACTTTTTAAAAATAGAATCGAGCCTTTATTAAAATACGAGTCGGATAAACTATATTTCTAATATTTCTTAAAATATAGACATTGTCTTCGTAAACTTTTATTTACGATCAATAAAGACGTTTCGATTGTAACGTGCAATTTTACTGAAGAAGATTGCACGTTGCAATTGAAAAGTCTAAAGAATTGTTGGTTGTAAATAAAAATTTTCGAAGACAAAGTATATATTTTAAGAAATATTAGAAACATAATAAATCAACTGAAACATACTAAGACTTTCCCAGTATCAGCTGTGATAGTAGATGACTGATATCGCAGCTGCTGCTCCTGTGGACAATATTCAAACATCGTGCTGTTATAAAGCCTACTACAAATCTCAGCGCTCTCTCAAATGTTTGAAGAAATCTGAATATAAAAATTTGTATAGGAGCAAGGACGTATCGACTAAAGTTTCGTCGTTCAAAGGTTATCGTTTGGCTAAACTACATTGAAAATTTCAGTCCAGAAATGTCAAAGCGTTAAAGAGTTAATGGCAGATGCGTGCAAAATGGAGTTCATGACACAATATATTTTTTTAATCACAGTTCGAAAAAAGCAGCTTTAAGCATTCAGAGAACAGTGGATTTTTCTTCAAAATGACAAGAATTTTAAAAATTGGTCGCTTTAGGTTTTGAATAATAGTGCTTGAATTCGTTTGAAACAAACTCCACATCTGTATCTAGTGAAAAATAATACCGAAACAATTACCGGTAGTAATCTCGAAAAATGACATAGTTTTAAGGTAGTGACATTAAGTAGAATCGAAATGAAGCCGTGCAAGGTACATTCTGATTATGCTAAATAAACTCTTTCCAGCAAAATATCTGTTGGAATGGATGTTAGACATAAAACCGACATTTTCACAACTCAGTGAAAATTAGTTCGTCACTTTCAATTACTTGTGAAGATTTGATGACTTGTATACTCTATAATCTGCCGCTAACACAATTTATTGGGCAAAAACGTCGTGATGAATGCTTAAGAGATCGTAAATTTGATCAGATGCTCTAAAAGACTGTTGAAGAACACAATTCCTAAGAAAAATTGAACTGACTTTCGAAGAGTTTCGCTCACTGGCTAAAAATTCACTTTTAGTAAACTGAGTAGAGCAACTGGGGGTACGGGCTCCGTTTTTATATTTATCCGAAAACCGGAAGGTTTCAGTGGAAAACCACAAAATTTTAGTGGAAAAATACACGATTTTAGCTAAACTACATGAAGAAAACAGTTACTTGAGACCGTAATGATAATTTGTCATCTCCATTTTTAGCTGGAAAACGAAAAAACAAGAAAATTTTTAGGCCTAAGTCGTGTACGGAAACGGTACCCGTGCACACCTCTAGTCTTCGGCCCAGTTCGATATACTCTTAAAGTGTTACAAAAATGCTCCCCTTTTTCTGAATCTATCGAGAAACATATCGCTCACATCATTAGAGAGGGTTTATATAAATATGCGCTTTCTTATTACCTGAATTGTCATCAACAGGATATTGGTCAGGATCTCAATGAAACAGAAGATGGTAATAACGCTCTAATGATAATGTATCTGAATTATTACCATTCTTTGGTTTTTTACTTGCTTCTGCTGTCATATACACCTCGACTTGTGACTTGTTTCCGGCATAATGCTGAACCGATTGCAGCGGATATGAGCCACTATTCTGTGGCGAAACATTTTCAATTTTCTTGTGCTCTAATAATTCTTGCTCAGACGAGTTTGAACAAATCTCTTGGTTGGTAACTTCGGTTGTTTCTTTCGCGAATTGATCTTAATATAAACACGGCAAGGGTTGAACTCTGTGTTTTCAATGTTGTAATCTAACTTTAACTGATAGATATACGAGGAAAGTGAGAATAACATATTAGTTGTTATGATAAACTGACATTAACGATTAAGCTATAATCCAAAAATTACTTAAGCAGACTAAAGAGGGAAGTTCTAATCGTTCGTTCAATTTTTCGCGTTAAAAGAACATCTACCGTTTGGACTAAGTGGAGCTATTGTGTTATCTGATGTTGTCGATAATTGTTTTTCGATAACGGCCACATCTGCAAGATGTATTGACGCTAAGAAAAGAGAGATTCATAGGTAAGCTTCAGCACTCTAGTCATTTAGATTCTTACATTCAAAAGAGAAGCTTGAACCCAGAGGTAATTCGGCAGCCCAGTCGATACCATTAGGTTTCGACTGAGTTGATGCACTTTCGACTAAAAGGGAAATAAACGCTTATTAGGCATTTCAACTACTACTGAACTGTTAGAAAATGCTTGGCGATTTCAACTGTTTGATTAACGTGTCAGCACTCTTAGTGCTAAAGCCTGTATGATATGTCACAATGTGGATGTCGACAGTCCAAGATGTTGTATGAACAGTTTGTTTAATACATAATTTTGAAGGAAATACTTGAAAATTTACCTTGCTGTGCTACAAATGGAATCTCGGTTAGCCATGCGATGTTGTATGATGGTGATTCTAAAACAATAAAACATTTAATTTACACGATATTTAGCATGATTATAGCATACCCGATGTTTCTTTTGTAATGTTAGCTTTAGTGCAGTTTTCGCAACTTAGTTGTTCTGCTGATGTTTCCGTTTTATTGCTTATATCCATTATTTGATCAGAATAAGAATCCTTCTTTGATCTTAAAACTAATATAATGCAGAAAAACTTATGTGTAGATTTGGCTTAGATTTTTTAACGGTCACATCATCAGTATTGCTAGAGTTAAAATCATTTAGGACTCAGATGAGTTCTGTAATCAATAATCTTTCACCGTTTAGAGTAGAAAAATTATAGAGTGTAGAGAAAATCAGTTTGGAATAAAACGAATGATTGAAAAATGAGACCATCTGTATGAGTTGAAGTAAACTGTTCTACAAATCAGTCATCATTACACTAAGGGGATGTTGTGATGATGCTCCACATTGTGAGAAAATTTTAGCATTGCAAAGGCCATACGTGTCAGACTTCTTCGTAGTCGCTCCTTGGACTGGGAGGTTCTCGATATGTGGTTGATTTCTGTCTCATGTATTCTGTGATACGATGTTAAAAATATAACGTGGAATAGGTACAGTAAATCGACGCTTAACTTACTATTTCTTATGATATTCGAAATAGAAAAGCAGAACTTAGGAGAAACTAATGTAAAATAAAATCTACAGATTGTAAAGCGGTTCAAGAAATCAGTTAGATTTTGTTAACAATTCACCTACTGTGGGTAACTTTGTTTTTATTAAATACTTACACACACACTACATTAGAAGAAAGAAGTACACTCAATATGAATGAGAGAAAAGAATAAAAAATCATGAGTAATAAAAATATTCAACGTAGCATACACAGACATAAAAAGCAGAAGGAAAAAAAGGAAAAAAGCCTGCGTCGTTGGTTTTTTCCAACTTCGTCATTCGAATAGCTGACCTGACCATAGAGCGACATCTATAGTTGCATCTGTGCGTTTTAGACATTTTCTTTAAAGAACGTAGATAGCAAAATATGTCGATCCGTCGTTTGATAGCCTCACAACTATTAGCACCAAGAGTATCGGAGACTTATGAAACTTTCACTATAAAGGTAGTCGACTTGACGATTATAGAAATAACCACAGTTATATATGAGATGAAAGAAAACGTGTGTGCATAGACGCTATTGATTCCTTGAAATAACAACAAAGGAATGAATTACAATGGTTCTGTACCGCGACTTTTCTTTTCTGTTTTACCTCTTTCAGCGGAAAAAGAGCGTTCTGATGTTAAAAGATCGCCGAGTCTAAGCGTGACAATTTGGTGAAAACAAACTTTCTCTAACATTGTTGGTTAACACATTGAGGAACAATCTTCTGAGGAAAAATTTGATTTTCACATACTTTTCGTGGTAATTTAAATAAGAAAATAATATACCAAAAAGACAATCAGCGCAGTTTTTACTTTTAATTTGAACAGGAAGGTATTTCGTCACACCTTTTATTTACCTTTCCTCATGTTTGTTCTTTTTTAACGCATCATCCAAACTGTATTGCTGCTTATACGACTCCCACCAGGGCCAGGTAACGCCAACTCCGCAGTTGAGGATTTGTTTTTGATGGGGTTGGAGTTGAGATTTTGGGAGGCTGGAGTTGGGTGTTTGAACCTTTATTCCCAACTCCGTTTTACATTTTTGAAAATATTCAATGGTTGTAAAACTGATCTTCTAAACGGTTGAGTCATATCCTTTCCAAATTAAGAGGCCTGTGATCGTTTATTGAATAAGTCGAGAACGGAAAGAGGTACAGAATTCAGGTTTTCATCATTCAAAAGAAGAGACTTTGAGCCATCTTTTTATAGAAGACGTTGATGCAAAGCCTTTTCTCAGAGTAGGCTTCCGAAGAGATGTTTACAAACCAGCTCATAGCTCAAAAACATCAAGTACGAACATTTGCATTTTTCTTCATGGATAGATAGCCCAAAGTGTCCAGTCATAGTCGGGGGTCAGGCGAGATCTTGATTTCTAGTGGTTCGAGCGTGATATGAGACTTTCTTGGAGCCCTATGAGTCGTATTCGGTAACTTTAGGTAGTTTTGAAATGACGTAGCCGACCACGCTGAATCTGACGACTATGATTGCTTTTGGAAAAGACTCCACAACTCACGTCAACATCGAGTTTTATGGAAGCCGGAGTTTGCGTGCTGTTTTCAGCTGACATTAGAAAATTAAAAACTCAGTCAAAAAAGCATGAGAATGAGTTGAAAACATCAAGATGTACGGTATTCTTTTAGGCTGTTTTATATCGTACTTATAAGAAATCTACAAAACAAATACTGCAAAATCCTATGGTTTTCCGATGGGTTTCAGAAAAGTTTTGTGTAATAACATGGTTTTTCAAGTTTTTCGATCGTATAATCCTGCTAAACGGACAGTTAATCATATTCTGAAGCTTTCTAGTGGTTCTTAGGGGTGGCATGTTCCCGTTACTTTCCGTTAATTTACTCTGAAAAGTAACAGCTTTCCGTTATTAGTTACTAGTAACGAAAATCCGTTACCCGTTACCAGTAACAGTAATTAAAGTCCGTCACTTTACAAAGTAAAGTAATATAAAAGATTTTTTCAGACAAAGATTTTTTTCGTTCTTCTTCGACTAAGAAATAGACTGGTAAAGAGAAAACTAAACGGAACGGAAAAGGTCTCGTTCTATTACACTTACGTGTTTTCTTAGATGTAAAGGTTGCACATAATTTGATATATCCCTAATACGTCGGATATATCTGAGATATCCACTTTCACTTCTAATAGAGGTCTCAGATATTCACATGTGCGAACTTGACAACTAACAAGGCACCTAAGCGAAAAAAAGAAAATTCACCCGTTACTTTTTCAGAAGTAATACAAGTAACGGATTTCCATTACCCGTTACTGGTAACAGGTAACAGGTTGCTGTTACCCGCTACAGTAATGATAATGGGAAAGTGGCATCCCTACTCGTTCTGATGTTTTTCCAGTAAGCCTTGACGCTCCAAGAAAGCCTGATATCACGCCCGAACCACTAGAAATCAAGATCTCGCCTGAATCCCGTCTTGGACTGGACACTTTGGGCTATCTATCCATGAAGAAAAATGCAAATGTTCGTACTTGATGTTTTTGCTGTTTTGCACATTGCCACCATTGTTGAACTGACGTTTAAAAAGGTCAGATTATTTTGCCGAATTCGTATCTGCACATTAGTGAGCATGCTTTCAACAATGTACAATTCGCGATCACTTCGAAAATGCAAACTATTGAGACACAGAAAAACGTTCAACGGTTTCTGAATGCAATTCGCTTCTCGACACCGGCGTTTCGCCATTTCTTCAGCACTTCTAGTTGTCAGTGACTGCGATTCACCTGCAACTAAAACTAGTTTATCCCAAACAGTCACTGGACCAAAAGCACTACCATTTACAATTGGATCTAACGTTGTCCACTTAACAAGACTAGTGACCAGGTCTAGGGATAATCAACTTGGATTTGTTACAATTGTATTCGACGGGAGTTTTGTATAATTTAAAAAATATCCATTATTATTACCAACATAGAAATAATGCTCATCAGCTGTTGAACCAAATTCCATATCTCCAACAGCACTATCAGAAGCAACTTGTTTCGTTCAAATAAGATAACCAGTTTCAGCATCAAAACCATACCCTTGCCCACTCTTTTGACCAACATAAATCTAATCTCTTTTTCTGCACCAAATCTATAATGAATATCATGTTTTAAAATTGGCTGTTGACCAAAATCATAGCTTGATCCAGGAGATGCAGGACAATTAGTCGACGTCGATTGAGCACCGTTAAATCTGTACATGTACCAGTAAATGCATTAACTGGTCCCGATGATTGTACCTACCTAACTATTTGTACTTCCATGATTATCTGGTGGCATGAGTGTTTTCAATCTGCGTTTATCGGTTGATGCTTTCAGAGCTACAACTGATCCTTGAAACGAACAACAATTGTACGAAGATTAAACAGCTAACACTTCTTCTTTTGATGAAACCCCTATCAATATCAGATCACGAATAATAACAGGAGTCGAGGTTATAATTGAAGCAGGATGTGTATCAACCCGTTTTCTCCATTTTAACTGTCCAGTGAATCGATTCAACGAAAACACAACTGAACCAGGACTTGTATATAAATCTGCAATTGTGCTTGTTTGTATACCTAAAATCAGTTGATCACCATAAACAACTGGACTAACGCGTGCTGGATATGTAGGATAATTTAATATTGGTGATACATGTCTATTCCACATCAGTTTTCCGTTTGTTTCATTCAGACAATAGATTGTACCATTCAAATCTGGAAAGTAGACACGTCCATGATACACGATTGGCGTTGCTGTTACAACACCACTTGTTTTATAGAACCCTCTTTTAATGAATTGAGATGGATGTGACATATTGGTAAGCGGTAATTGCTGAGGCAATTCTTCACGTTGATAGCAATCATTATTTGAATTTAAACTCCAGCCGTTCCAATCGCCGCCATTTACAACATTTGAAATTGCACTTAGAACATAGAATAGTCGAAGGATAGCTATTGATGGCAGCAGCATGTGTTTTTTTTTGTTTGTATTGTGTAGATTCTTCTCTTTTCACTCACTACTGTTAGATAGTCAAGTGTTTCTATAATATTATCTTTTTTTCTTCGATCTAGATTAGAAAGTACAAAGTTAACCGATATATAATTAAATACGCCAGCTTCTTTACTTTGAATACGAAAACAATAGCTAATAATGCACAACAAGCACACTAAAATGTAACGTCACATAATATAATGCAGAAAATGAGTACAAAACAAGGAGTGCAAAGTGTACAAAATGTTTCGTAATAAAAACTCTTATGCCACACACCACACTATAATATTGTGCCGTTATCTAATTGCATTCTAAATTAACTTCCATTTCACTATATCGTACTTCGAGGCTTTCGATTGACTAACAACGACACAATATACAAAAAAGTTTGCAAGCACGACCCATCAGCAATTTAAATTTCCGGACTAAACTTCTCGTTATCAAACACAAAACTAAACTGAAACTACCGTCCTGTGAATTTTGTGAATCTCTTAACTTTAGCTTCATGCGTCGGTCTCATAAAACCATTATTCGAACTTTATTTTTGTACTGTCTTCCTTCGATATACTTAATCATTTACCCGAGCTCCGTTGACTGAGAGTAGAGAAAATTCATGTAAGAAATAGATAGAGAACATTAGACGAATCGCAATGAGCAACGATTATCCTACGACGTTCGTTAATATGCTAATTGGGATGAAACTTCCTAAGTGGTATTGCCCTCCTCCTATTCTATTAAATAATACTAAAGACATCCAACAAAAGAGAATTGTAAGCCTTGTTTTCTTGTCCGTTGGTCAGTGAACAAATGTTATATTGTGATTTCTTCTGAATTCACCTTTTAATATCCAAAGATGCAAATAACTGATACACTCACACTTTATTATAAAAAATC